TTTTTACTTACAGTAGATGCATGTTCAGAAGGCGCTGTCCTTGACTTATCATATTCAGCATTGATGTTTTCCTTACCATTATTCCTGCATTCAGACTGCTCCTTTGGAGCTTCAGTTTCCTTAACTGCATCATTTGACATCTGTACTACAGATCTTGTGTTCTTTAAATTCCCGCCTAGTTCATCTCTGCTTGCATTCTCTGAAGGGTTTTCAGGGACTAAATTACCTTCCTGCTCAGCCATTGATATACCAGTTCCCAGAACAGAAGCATTATTGTCCTTGCAAACATCATCCCATACTGTGTCTTCCTTTCCCCCAATACCCTTGCATTTTTTCTTTGCACTTGATAAAGATTTTAAGGTTCTTTCATCATATAAATTGGTTTCATCTTTATTTCCCTTACTGAATCCATCTCCCTGACATCCAGGAATTGAACCAGTTGATGGAATCACAGTGTCATCAGTGCCAGAGAGTTTGACAACTGTCTCAAGATTATCAACAAACCCTTTTCCACTATGTTCTGAAACACGTGGGCTAACACAAGAAACCTCCTTTTCACCATGTCCATTCTCTAATTGTGGCAATTTGAAACAATTGAAGTCAGACGCCCTTTTAGAAGGATGACTGGGAGGAATATCAATAGCACCAATCGAAGCATTAGTTGCAATGCCATGACAAGCTATCTGGTTACTAGAATCAGGAGAAATTGAAATCTGGGTTTTTTCATTCTCCGTTACTGCAGATGCATCCATGCTAAGAAACCAGGTCTTTTTGAACCCACTAAATGCACTTCTCACCAACATGGAATCTGCTAGGTGATAAAAGTAGCCCCTGCGCTTTACCTAGCATAGTAGAAAATTTTGTAAATAATATGATTTAGTCAAAAACCATGATTACAACAGCGGAACAGGATCAAGAAGCATACCTTTATGGCATGGATCTTTATCTGTCCAATCTTTGGAAAGCACAATGGGTGTTCTAACATAATTCTCTCTGCGTGCCAACGGCAGGCATATATCATTTGAACAGGTCAGAACTTGTACAAAAAGTAAAAGAAGAGCACTGAAGTCATGCCATACTAACATAATCTTATGACTAGGCACAGAGAATATAGGGAAATGTTTCTCACAACTTATGCAGAGCGCAGAGCAAGACTAAGTTAACTTCATGTTATCACCATTCTGGGTGATCGTCTAAAGTCCAATAAAGGATGGGAAAAAAAAAAAACATCCGAACCAACGCTCAATAGAGAATCGCTTTGGTTTATTGAACTTAAATTCATATCAAGGAAATAAAGAATTAAATCATCAAGAACAGAGAACCACTCAAGGTTAAAGGTAAGAACAGATTCGTAAGCATGAGAAAGGAGAAAAGGGCATTACTTTTGAGATCAGAAACAGTGTCGGCGTCGTAAGCAATCATAGCGAGGTGAGTGTCGAGGCTGGTGTCTATGAAGACCGTGAAGCGGTCGGCCTTGCCGTCGCCGTCAGAAGCTGAACTCTGAAGAGCCATTCAGAGGGAGGAGCTCCGGCTTGAGGTTTATGGATTGGCGGCAAGCTGCTACGATATTCAAGGTTTTACATTTATAGGCCCAAATCAAGCGAGTGAATGGACCTTTTTCTTTAAAAACAGAAATTAAAAAAATTGAGCAAAAATGACAATTAGGGACCCCCAAGGCTATTAATTATAATTAAGGATCCTAAATTATTGAAATTTTAATAATAGACCATGATACTTACTTGGAATTAAAAATATACATGAGTTTACAAAATTGCCCTCCACTTGAAAATTAAAGAAATGACACTGCTGAAATTATTATCATATAAAGAAAATATTGTTAATCTCAATTGAAAAACTAAAGAATAATAATTGAGCATGGATTGCTTCTCAATATAAAACTAAAATTTACTTTTGAAATTTTTTAATGACACTTGTAAATATAGAATAGTTGTTATTTAAAAATTTACTAAAGTCACTTTTGAATATGAACCTAATCACTTATAAATTTTTATGTTTGTTAATATATAGGCAGATCGCTTGAAAAATAAAAAAAAATGACATTGCTAAAATTACTCTTATGAATAGAAATATTTGTTAATTTTAGTTACGAAACTAAAGAGTAATAGTTGAGAATGTATTGTTTTTTAATATAAAACTAAAATTTATTTTTAAAACTTTCCAATAGCACTTGTAAATATACAATAACTATTTGGAAATCTACTAAAGTCATTTCTAAATATGAACTTAATCAACTATGAATTTTTACACTTGTTAATATATAGACAGACCACTTGAAAAAAAATGACATGGGATTGAAATTTTGTTAATTTTAGTTAAAAAACTAAAGAACAATAGTTGGAAATTGATTGTTTTCTAATATGAAACCAAAGTTCACTTTTGAAACTTTCCAAAGGTACTTATAAATATAGGGTTCGTTTGGATTTCAGTTGGATATAATAAATTATGAAAATAATTGATTAAGTAGTAAATTTTAATCAGAATTGATTATGTTATAATGCAACCTGTTTGGATATTAAAATTGATTTCAACTGCGCAAATTATCATAAAATACATTGCTTTTTGAAATTAAATTATTAATAAAGTTGCATTTAATATTAATAAATTTGTTAAATTTTATTTAACACAATTATGAATTATTTACAAATTATTTATTATTAACATGGTAAAATGGAAACCAGAAGCAGGTATGAATAGATTAACAAAAAAATCAATTTCAGCATGTTTAATCGATTATGTCATTATTATGCTATTTGGCAAATTTTGTTTTGAAAATCGATTAAACCCCAAAAATTGATTCTTGACGCAAACCAAATGGGCACATACAATAGTCATTTGAAAATTTATTAAAGTCACTTTCGAAGAGTATTTTAAACTATTCATATTTTTTTAGTTCCAAGTAAAAATCATATTCCATTATTAAGATTTCAATAATTTAGAGCCCCTAATTGTAATTGATGACCTTAGAGGGCCCCTAATTGTCATTTTTGCAAAAACTAATACATGGTCTTTCTTTTTTAAAATTTTAAATTATATTTTTACACTTTATTTCAAGGATAACCAAACTCTTAAGCTAGGTTTGGTAGTGTGAAATCCTTAACATGGAAAAGGAATTGATGTAGGAATCCAAATGCATTAATTATATTCCATCCTTGCCCTTATGGAATTGGGTCAAACACCCTGGAATTCAACATTTTTTCTCTTCTAACCTTAAACTCTTCATCCATTGTTGTCGAACTCTGCAACCGTTATTGGTTCACTGCCATTAATCTACTACCTCGCTTTGTTGTTGGCAATGAGAAAGGAAGGGAGCACCATCACAATTCACTGCCATTTAACTCCATCACTACTATCGCAAGTTGCCATGGAACAGCAACAATAAGCTTCTCGGATCTCCACCTTTAGTCTCCATCAACGGCGATAATCCACCTTAGATTTGTCAACGACTAACACCTACTATAAACCATTGAGGAGGACAAAAGATCTTTGACGACTCGTCGAGCTATTTACTACTATCGTAGGTTTAGCAAATCTTGAGTTTCTTCATTGTTGAGATGCTCTCCACTAATCTCTTCGATCTTCTTCACAAGTTTAGTAGCAAATTGCATATGATATATTTTTGTAATTTGTTTTCAAATTTGTGAAACAAGTATTTGTGATTTCTGGATATAGTCGATTATATAGGTTATGATATGATTCTGATTTCTAGTTCAATTTTAAATATGTGGCTAGCTTTGATTCCATAGTAGACAACAGTTATTTTTCAATATTAAGGGTATTTTGGACTTTTGCTAACATAAACACATTTTTTTAAATAAAATTTTATTAGGATTACATTCACTTACCAAACATATATTCATAATCCAATTCTATTCTGATTTTGATTTTGATTTCGATTCCAATGCCATAAAAAACTCTTCCATCATACAAAACGAGGCTATAGTCCTTTAAGTTTGTCTCAATTATCAATTGATCTCTTAAATTTAATTTTTATCTATTTAGTCCTTCACATTTTCTTAAATTACTAAGTTGGTCCTTTAAATTTTAAAATACAAATTGACTTTCAAAATAATCTAATGTTAAAATATGTCAATGATTTGACATGTATATGTAACTAAATGAGAATTAATTAGCATTTAAATCAATCTAATTTTACTAATATAGTCCATCATACTACATTTTATTCTTTTATTCTTTGAAATTTTTCAATATATTTTTCCCTACATAAATAATTAAACTTCTTTCTATTAATTTACATAGATATTATCAATATTCCAATATCTATATTAGTAGATTTTAACAGTGTTAAATTCTTTTTAAACAATAAAGACAAAATCTATTACTTAGGTAAATTCAAAGAACCAAATCAATAAAAATTAAATATATTAATTCTTGAAACTTTAAATTATTAATAAATAATTAATTTTTAAAATAAAAATATTTTTAAAGTTTATCAAAAATTGGTTTATTATTTTTGGTCAAAAGAGAAAAACATTGATTTAATACCATGTTCATATTTTTAATAATTTTTTATAAAAATTCTATATGTATACCATACCAATTATTTGGAATACATAATCTAATTATATAAATTTTGAATTGTAAAATTATATAATAGTTGTAAAGTTATATAATCTTGTAAAATTATAATTCTAAGAAACATCCTTTGCCAACATAATATATATATATATATATATATATTGGAAACTCACATTTTCGACCCGGCTGCTATAGGAATAAACTTAAGCCATTAACCGGCTACTTTTCTCAAGCTAAAAGCTCGTTGAATTTCTACCAAAGCAAATACTAAAGTAGATTTATGCATTCGTTTGTACATTAGAAGAGGTATCGTGTAATTTATACAGTCCAACCCACTTGGTAGAATAAAGTTTCTTCTTGTATTTGGACTTTAGAAAAGGGTGTGATGTTAATACATGTGAAGCTCAAGTCTATCTTTTTTTTTTTTTTTTGCCTTCAATCCCTCCACAAATATCCATGTTCATTTTTGCAAATATAGAACACTCACAGTCCACAAGTACAGTAAGCTGAAAACAGAAACATATAACCAGCATTTGAAACTTGAAACATATAATGAATGTGCTAACATTCTTGGGAAAAGACCAAGAAGGAGAACAACATGCTCTAACATTATAAAGAACTATCAAATCTTCAATCATTCCTTCTTTATTCTGGAGTCTTTGAGTTGGCCTCTCTTGCGGATACCAAGGCAGAAACCAAAGCGCCAAGTATCAATAATGAAGTCAGGCAATACAGATGTCAACGCCCAGAGAAGAGAATGAGGCCAATATGGCGTGCAACGAGGCTCATATCCTATCCACCTCAAACCTGCTTTTGCATATCCATCTGTTGATGGAACAAAGAACGACGATCTCCTTATTGATGCCATCTTCGTCGCCACGTATAAGGGAACCTGAGTTTTCAGAAATTTTTTACCACAAATAACACATGCATGGCCTGCTAATTGAAGAAGGTACTCTATGCCAACGGCAAGCTGTCTCAATAGCACTACCTCTCTTACCTACAAGAGGTCCTGAGTTTCGACCTCAGCATTGACATGATTGTGTGCATGTTTAATTTGAATGCACTTCTTTGATCCTATTTATAAAGCAAAAGGAGAAAAAAAAGTTGATCCTATTTATAAGGCACTTGTCAATTTTTAATGCTCTTCTTTACATCTTTTGTTTTATTAAATGCTTTGAATAAAAATATCAATAATAGAATTTAGAGGTAAAGATGAAAACTTATTAAATTTTAAGACAAAATTAATGAGATTTAAAGTTTTTTCTTAGTTTCGGTGAAACAAACTAAAAGTGATTTATAAATAGGATCAGAGAGAGTATAAAAAAAAAAAGCTATTCTTGCATATATGCAAAAGCCTATATATTCAGGTCACAACGATATCAATCAGAAGAGAAAATTTAGGAACAGGAAATAACTACTGGCATCTAAGGATCTTACACCTAATAATTCACAACTAAATAAGTTTTTGGTAAATTCAATCCATAGAAGACAATTAATTAGATGATGCTCAGACTAATCAGGTTTAGTAGATGAATGTTTATATGTTTGTTTATGACTGAAATCATCCACCTATATTTTGTAGAATATCTTAATAATGATCTCCCTCCATAATCAAGTAATTAATTATATGCAATTCATTTTTGCAAGTAGTCCACTATGATTGAGGCCGGAAAACATCTGAGATGGATCATTCTTTATCAATACCAGGTCAGAAACAGGCTTTGTTAGTGCACATAAGCTTGTAGTTTTTAAAAAAAAAGTGCTAATGAAGGGCAGAGAAGTAAGAAAGTACCCCCCCCCTTTGCATTAGAGGAGCCAGCACTTATGAATTGAAATTACAAACGAAATTGAATTCACAACCTCTCACTTCAACGGGAACTTTCACGTCTTCACTGGGTCGTACGCAAAAGAGTTTTGGTTAGAAGCACTAAATTGATGACTTCTTTGTTAAAAATCACTAATAAAGATTGAATATTATTTGCAAATAAACAATAGTCCCATATTAGACATATGCATACTCTTAATTTTTCCAAAATAATGTGATCATTTAAAGGAAAGCAAGCATATGAAATTTTTGAAAGAAGTACATAATTTTAAACAGAAAGAAAGAGCCAAATCAAAATCATAATCAAATTGTGCGTGTAAAAGATAATACCTGACATTGCACATCAATCCCACTCTTCTTGTACTCAACATATAAGCATCTCGAAAACTGATCGATGTACCTGAAAGAAATGATCAGAGCACCTCATTTCAGTACATATAAAACATAATATTGAAAATTAAGTCAATCCGGTAATCACTAAACTCTCTTGAACCAGCGCCCGTATAAAACAACAAATCAAACAAGAAACTAAACATAACACGTCATTGCTTGAAGTGAAACAATCAAGAAACTCACGCTTTTGTGCCTGCATATACAGAATAAAGTGGATCTGAAGGAATCACAGTAGCTGCTCCAGAGCCAATGTTTACTATTGCTCCCTTCTTCCTGCTAAGCATGCCGGGAAGAACAGTTTGTGTGACCTTTGTAGTACCCTCAACATTTATCTTAATCAGATTCTTCAAGAGCTCGTCATCTACTTCATGGAAAAATCTGGCATAAGGATACGACATTCCCACGTTGTTAATCAACACTCCCACATCCAATCCTTCAATCGCCTCACGAATCCTAACCATACCCTCTGAAAGATCGCCGGAAAAATCAACAACGACAGATTTAATCTGGATTTTCCCGAACTTGGCAAGAATCGAATCGGAAACATCCTTCAACTTATCAGGATTTCGACCCACCAAGACAAGATTAAGCCCTTTGCGAGCCAACTGAAACGCAAAACTCTTTCCAATACCGTCGGTGGGTCCGGTAACGAGTGCCCAAGCTCCGTATTTCTTCAGATTTTTGGGAGGCCTGAGAAAATTTGCGTACACCCATCTGACAAAAGCAAGTGAAAATTTCAGAAGCGAGAGGGAACCCAAAGCGCAAAGCACGAGAAACCAGGAAGGGTGATCAGTTTTCAGCTTATCGAAGAAACAAGACTCCATGTTCCTAGTGAAGCGAGTGTAATAGTGGACACAGAGAGAGAAGAAAGAGGGGATATAAGAGTTCAAATGAAGGAGAAGAAAGAGTGGAAGGTGGTGATAGTGGTGAGGAAGACGAAGGAGGTAATGGTATTTATGGTGGAAGGAATCGACGTGGGTGAAGTAGATGAGCGAAAAACAACCAACATTAAGAGTGGCGTCGATTGATTCGATGCAGAGTTGAAGAATTGCATTTAATGGATTAAGGGGCACCACATGGCGCGCGAAGACTGTGAATTTGGTTTGGCTCTGACCTGCTTTCACAATCAAAGCAGTTGTTCAGCTTTCAAGAAGTAGTTATGGCGTTTGGGAACCTACTAGTGGTCCTTTAATTTAGGATTTAACAATCAATTAAAAAAATATTTAATTAATTCAGAAAAAATTTTAATTAAGAATCATAAAATTTAATTATTAAAAGGTCTAAAAAATTTAAAACTTCACTTCAATCCAAAAAAATTAAGTGAAAATAATTTTAATGGTAAAAAAAATAAAATACTTTTTACTTATTATATAAATTATTAATTATTAATTTTTTTACTTTACTTATTAATTTACAATATGAGTTATAAATTATATACATTTACATGTTAATAATTATATAATACTTTATGTTAGTTGTTCAATCACAAACTGTATTATAAATTATTAAATTATTAATTTTATTTATTAATTTACTAACATTATTTATAAATTACTAATAGATATTATAACTTATAATTGATATTACTACTTTTGTGATAAATGAATATAATTTATAACTAATTTTTCATAGCAAGTAAAGTAACAAGTGAAATAAAAAATTAATAATTAATAATTCTGTATAATAAATAAAAAGTAATTTAATTTTTTTACTGTTAAAATTATTTTTATTTAATTTTTTTAAATTGAACTAAAATTTAAATTTTTTTAAACCTACTAGAAATTAAATCCCATCTATGATCCTTAATTAAAATTTTTACAATTATTAATGATTAATAATTAATTATTAACATTAAAGTATTCATTATTATTACTATTACTATTACTGTATTGTCTCTCGGTGCTACTAACTTTCTTTTCAAACTTTCAAGAATTATAAATTTCATCTCAAACTATATATAAAATTTACTTTTTAAAAGAATTTATAATCTTTTATAAATCATGTTTTATAAAAGTATAGATTATTAATTAATTTTATTCTTTCACAATTTTTAGGTAATAAATTAAACTGTTATAGAAAAAATTATTTTTAAAGATGATATATTTAAAATGATAAATTGAGAAAATTTTTCAGGCAGTATGAATAATTTAATTATTTTTTAATTTTAGTGAGAGAGTTATAAGTGATGTGTATATAAGATCGGAAAAGTAATTTTTTTAGGAGGAATGACATCAAAATTTATGTTGATATTTTTTATTTTCAAAGTGAGATGGAATTTTTTTATGAAAAAAAATACCCTTAATCAAACTTTTTTTTTTTTACAGAGGAAAAAGATACATGCCAAGACCTCTTAGAAAAAAAAAAAAAAAAAAGAGGTGGTGCAACTGTTGAGATAATAGCCATCAGTTGGCTTATGGATTATGTAGAAGTTTAGAGTTTGAAACTTAATATGCATGAAAGGAGAAGCCATTGGCATATTTCATCGATCTTGGTTGTAACATTTTTCTCATTTAAGTAATAAAATATTAAGTTTTCATTAAAAAAAACTTAATTATGTAACAAAAAATTCATGTAATGTTAAAGTATGCAAAAAAATTAAGAAAATTGGTTTCTCATTTTCAAAACTTACACACGTGTTGTACCAAAAAAATATATATACAAATATGTTTGTTGAATGCAAAAAACTATAGAATTGAAATTTTCATGGTATAATTTTATTAAGATGTTAGAAAACTCTTAGTCTTGAACAAATCATGCACTTGCTTGTTGCCACTCGCATAACGGGGCACTGATTGATTAAATTATTGTTGTTGTTTTTGTGTCCACCAAGCGCTTATCAGGTTATGAGCAATCCTAACTTTTTATTTCAATCTAAAATGATCTACCGTGCATTTAAATTAATTTTTAAATATTTTTAAATTTTTTTATTGAATAATAAAAATTAATATTAAATTTGGATTATTTAGAGTATATTTAAATAGCTAATTTGTAAAATTTATAAATTTATAATATTAAATTAGGTTATTCATATTATATATAAATTGTCTAGATTCTATCTAGATAATAAAATTATAAAATTATAAAAAAATTTAATATTAAATTGGAATGTGTAGATTAAATTTATACTGGCCATATTAGTAACAAACAGATTTATTAAAATTTTTTTATTTTTTTATTTTAATACATATATAATAAAAATAAAAATTTTAAATTTAAATGGTTTAAATCTCATCAAAAGTGATAAGTACTATAGTGCTTTTTCCTGATGAACACTGAAGACAGCCCAAATTTAATTTTAAAATTTTTGTATTTTTTATATTAATAAATAAAATATTTAAAAATTAATTTAAATGATAAGTAGAAATCATTTTAGGTTGAAATGGGTCTTGGCCTGACTAGTACTGCAAGGCCATGTTTGGTACATAGCATTGAGGGCTTAGGTCTGGGACTAGTATTGGGAATGGCCCAATTTAGTGTATTTGGTACAAGGTATTGAGTCTTACTTGGGTTTAAGCAAACCCACTTAGGAAGGATTACTCAAACCCACCTCCCTCTTGATATTGAGAAACCAGTCCCAGGATTGAAAAATTATTGAACAAAACTATCCTTGTTCAAAGTAATTTCAGACAAAACTGCCCCTCTAAATTTTGTCCAGATCTCCATCGCTGTGCGTCGTACAAAACTCAATCTCCATCGTCAATGATGCCCTTACTTCGTTGATCTCCATCATTCCATCATTGTACATCACCGATGAAGTCCCCAGTTTGTCAATCTTCTTCGATCTCTATCATTCCCTTAACATCCAAGAGATTCGTTGCTCCTTTAATTAATTTCTACCACATAGTAGTAATAATAACAAAAGCATGATTAAAAATTAAAAGAGCAGCAAGAAGAAGAATATGGGGAGGAGGAAGCAGAAGAGGAAGCAAGGGCATTTGATTTGACAGGTTGAAGAGGAAGAAGATAACTATGAGAAGCGGTGAAAGAGAGTGGTGAAGAGCAAAGGCAGAGACAAGGGGAGACAACGGCAGAGGCAAGGGGAGATGATAGTGAGGAGCAGTGAAAGAGAGTGGCCAAAAACCAGAGGCAGAGGCAAGATAAGGAGCGGTGAAGAAGATGAAAACTTGGGTTAGATGAGGGTTGGGTTATAATTTTTTTATTTTTATTATTTTAAAGGGTATCATTGTCTTTTTCTAATTTATGTTTAATTATAAAATAAAATAAAAATAAGTATTCCCTACAAATATTATTTCATACCAAACATAATTTTAAAGCCTCATTCTCATTTCCACTCTCAGTACCAATCTCAATCCCAATATCAATTCCAATCCCTCTAAATTGAGGTATGTGTACCAAATAGAGCCTAAGTTTGTACTCATCAGCAGACGCAATACTCAATTCCTTGCTATATTATACCATGGAGCAATTATGGGCCTATTTGAAATTGTTTTTGTTTTATTATTATGAGAATTGATGTTTTATAGAATATATTTTAAAAATAGTAATAAAAATGGATTTTTTTTTCATTATTCTTTGTTTTTCAAAACAATAATATCAAAACACCTAAAAAATATTTTTATTTTTCAGAATAATATTTTATTTTTTCTAAATTTTTTTTTAAAAACACATTATCAAATAGATTTTTTTTTTTGTCTTAGAGAATAGAAAACTGTTCCTAAAATAGGTTGTCAAACAAGCTCATCTTGTTGAAAAAAAAAAAATCATCTCAAAAGGACCTAACTTGTGAAGAAGTCAATTGGTCAAGTTATGGTTGATCAAACTATATTTTTTATATTAATAAATAAAATATTTAAAAATTAATTTAAATGATGAGTGGAAATCATTTTAGGTTGAAATGGGTCTTGGCCTTACTGTAAGTTTGTACTCATCAGCAAACGCAACACTCAATTCCTTGCTATATTATACCATGGAGCAATTACGGGCCTATTTAAAACTATTTCTGTTTTGATATTATGAGAATTGATATTTTGTAGAATATATTTTAAAAGTAGTAATAAAAATGGATTTTTTTATTATTTCTTGTTTTTCAAAACAATAATATCAAAACACCTAAAAATGTTTTCATTTTTCAGAACAATATTTTATTTTTTATTTTTTAAAACTTTTTAAAAAATACATTACCAAATAGATTTTTTTTATTTTAAAGAATAGAAAATTGTTCCTAAAATAGATTGTCAAACAGACTCATTTTGTTAGAAAAAAAATCATTTCAAAAGAACCTAACTTGCGAAGAAGTCAATCGACCAAGTTATGGTTGATCAAACTATGTTTTTAATTAGCTTTTAAACTATTTTTTTTCAAAAAATATTATGTTTTTAACTTTTAAGCTCTTATAAACTATTACCATTACTACTAATAATAAAGATTATATAATTTATGGATAACTTCAATTATTAAAAATTAAAAAATATTTAAAATTTGTCAAAATCTTTAATTCTTCTTGGCAACCAATGCCCATTACACATATCCCCAATGTCTCTGTTACTCTATTAGATGGGTCAACTGTAAAAAAAGCTTGTCGCATGAATAAGTCCTCCCTTTTTTGGTGGGCCAAATAGGAGCCCCACCTGTCGCCTAATTTCGATGTTTGAATGTGTGTCTTCATTTTATTTTGTAAATAATTCAACTTTCGCTTATATTTAGAAGAGCCATTGATTTGACTCCTCTAATCTATTTTTTTAAATGTTCCTATTTTGAATATCAAGTTAATCATATAAATTTTACAAGGCATATTAGTTGTGAAAAAAAGTTGGCATGTAAATTAGGTTGTTGATGTTGAATATACATGTGGATTAATAAAATTATAGATAAAACTAATATAAAAGTAAATATTTAAAATTTTATACGATGATAATAATATGTTTTTGACTATCAATATCTCAACTATTTAAAAATATATATAATTAATTATAAATGATTCTACAATATAATATTT